AAAATGTGCTAAACATGCAGACTTTGTTTCAGTTCAATAGCCAAGGATGTTACTCAATTCCCACTTACCATTTGCTTCTAGTGATGTTTAACCTGACAGAAGTGACCTTCCTCGGTGACGCCCACGCTCGGTTCCAAACTCTAAAGCCTTGGTGGGATGTCCTGATGGACTACTTGGTAGTAGCGATGCTGATGGTCTCTCTCCTCTCAGGTACTCTGCTGATTTCTGTTGACCATATGACCTGCTTGCCACTGAATTACAAGCTAAATGAGACCACAGCAGCTATGCTCAAGCCTGGAGCTATGGACAGTGCCACCAGTGAAGAGTTTTCTGCTGAAAACAGTGGACGCCCAATCAACCTTGACTACCAGCAGTACCTGTACATAAACCATGTCTGCTATCAGAATGCTTTGCCTTGGTTCTCCAAGTATTTTCCTTACCTAGCACTTGTCAACTCACTGATTTTAATGGCAAGCAGCAACTTCTGGTTCAGGTACCCTAAGACGTCCTCAAAGATCGAACACTTCTTATCCATCCTCATGAAATGCTTCGAGTCCCCTTGGACCATCAAGGCCGTCTCTGAAATGGTCTGCCAGAATTTCCTAGACCTACCCAAAACCACGGATACTAGAGGGTGTCAAGAACAATTTATTTCCCCTTCATCCTCTCCTATCCTTGACTGGAAGGAGAGGGAGCAGGGCCGGGCACTCTTTGAGAAGATCTGTAGATTCAGGGCACATGCTGAAGGTGCCAGCTTGATTTATATGGTCTACATGGGACAAACAATCTTCAAAGTTGCCAAGATCCTAACTGTGCTGGGCTACACCTCCAACTGCATAGGAGCCATCTCCTTTGAACATGTTTGCTGGCTGGACACAGAGAACCTGACCGGCTACTCTGTTTTCCTCTGTAACCACAGCTTGGCTTTCATTCTGCAGAAGTTGATGGTGACCTACCTGTTCCTGGTATTCCTCTATGGGGTGGTGGGGGCTTACCCACTGTGGTGGCTGCTGCGGCAGCCGCTGCAGAAGTATTCCTTTAAGCAAATGCGAGAAGACAGTCACTTTCTTGGCATCCCAGATGTCTACAACGACTTTGCTTTCCTCCTGCACATGGCTGATCAGTGCGACCAACTATACTCCTGGCGGTTTGCCATCTTCCTCTCAGCCATGAGCAAGAGCTCTTTGCTGGATGTGGGCCTTGAACACAAGGCGAGTATTGAAGGGCTGCAGCTGCATGTGCATTGAGACTCAAGGGCATCAGAGAACTAAGGTTTCACAAGCTGCCATCTAGGGCCCTCTTCTGCGAAATGGAAGTCCTGAAGCTTGCAAACAGTCCCAGACTAAAGCAGCCAGAAAAATAGGTATACTAACCTTTCTCAATCCTCATTGGTCAAGATGGGCCCCACTGGCCTAGGAAGGCCCACAGTATTCCACATCACATTTCCTGACATTACAACCTGGGGTTGTCTCTCTCAGGGGTCTCCACCAGTATCTCTCTAGCAACTTTGGCAAGATGAAAGGTTCAGACCTGTCCTTGTTGGGCTGGGATTATGAATATGGATTTCATATGGATATGGATATGAATATGGAAGAAGGGGTACAGCTCAATAGTTAAGCATGGGCTTTGTATGCAAAAGATCCTGGGTTCAATCGTTGGCATCTCCAGTTAGGGCTAGGAAAGGCTCCTGTCTGAAACCATGGAGAACTGCAGCCGGTCAGTAATACTGACCTAGACAGATCAAGAGTCTGATCCAGTTTCAGGAGCCTCTGATATTCTGATTAACTGAGGGCTGAAGCTAAGGCAAATTCACAACTGGATCCTTTAACTTTCATTTCTGTTTTCATGCAGTACTTTTTATTAGCTGCTCTGCAATAAAAACAACAGGTACCTGCATTGCCTGTGAACTTTCCTCCCTGGGGTTAATAACAGTGCGCTCTCTCTCTCTCTCTCTGTGTGTGTGTGTGTGTGTGTGTGTGTTGGGGGGGAGGGATCAAGGAATTGGTACCAATAATTGGAAAACTTCAATAGAAACCAAAGCCTCTTCTGTATTTCTGCTTAAAACAACAACAACAACAACAAATAATACACTGACCTGGGAATAAGTCCAATAGGGACATACTTTTGAGTAAATATGCATAGGATTTCTGTAGCATTTATTACATTTGTTTTAGCCCTGAGATATTAACAGAGAAGCAGATTTGAGCTGGCATGATTTCCCTGAGCTATGCTGAAAGTAAACACACGAGCACATACAAATTAATGTATAAAACTGTAACATTTTCTCCAAATGATCTTTTCAATGTTTGTTTGTTTGTAAAAAAAGAATTGCAGGACTCTACAGTTTCAGTTTAAGAGTGTAAGGAGTTGTAGGTAGTGAAGTGATCCACTTTCTGAAACCAAAGGAGAATATTAGTCATATGATGGCACAATGGGCCATCAGTGTGCCTGGCTGTTAACCAGAAGGTTGGGACGGCTGTGGGCAGGATTCCTGCATTGCGGGAGGTTGGACTAGATGACCCTTGGGGTCCCTTCCAACCGTATAATTCTATGATTCTGTTTCCAAGCCGTTCATATGTTAATGAAACAAGTGTGGGTTCAACAATCCCTTCTGCCAAAACAAAGAAGATATGTCCTCCTGCATCTCCCTTTCCTGCCTGTCTTAGAGGGATGACACTTTAAGGATATATGAAAAATGTGTCAATGAGACACTGACATAAGAGGTGTTTCTTACAGCAAGAATGAAAAACTGCATGGGTCCAAGCAGTTTCCTGCAGATTTCTGCATGACCCACACTTTCAAGGCATGGGTCCAAGCAGTTTCCCCCTTGCCCCGCTCCTTTCCAATTGAAAATCTGCTCTTTAGCAGCAGGATGAGAGGAAGTGTGGATAAGCTGGGAGAGCGAGCTCACAAAGTAACCTTAGTAGTCTCTAGTTAAATGAGACAGCTCTGTGGTGTCCCCAGTTCCTAAAACAATTCAGGACAATGTCCCTTATTTTAAACACAAACAAGGAAGAATGCCAAAAACAGAAAGGAGCAACATAGTGGAACTCAGAAGACAAAAAGTACTGTACTCCCATAGAAATGAAATGGCCTGTTATGGTTTGCATTTTGCTGGAAGAAACCTATATTATTATCAGAATGTTCTGGCTGAAGGCAAAACATACTTAACTGTAGCTAAAGTCACACAGGTGATGTTATCTGAATTAGAGCTGACAGACCATGGCAGGAAAGTCAAAGGAAAACCAGTACGTAAAGCTAATTAATGCATCTCTCCCCCCACCCCTGCTAGCATTGCACCTTCCACAGAAAAATTATAGGAGTCTGTAAGGATTCAACATTTCCTTCTGATACAATCTGTATATGTATTTTTATGTAGGTAAGAATCAAGTAGGTAAGGTGTGGGGAACCCATGGTCCTTCTCCACACATTTCTAGACTACATGTCCTATCATCCTTGATCCTTAGTAATGTCAGCTGATGGTGATGGGAGTTGGAATCCATCATCTGGAGGGTCCGAGGGTCCCCACCCCTGAAGTAGAAGGCATATATTTAAAATTAAAGATGTGTGTGTCTTAGGATGGAGGCGTGTGTGCAAGTATATACACATGCAGTTTTCTTCTTAAACCCTAACTTGATCACCATCTAAGAGAATGTAATAAAGGCTTGCTTTGCTCTGTACTTTGGTAGCTGTTATCTCATAACATGCTTTCCCATGTACTTCTTCATGCAGCGCATAGTTAAACTATGAAACAGGAGGCAGTGATGGACAAAATGTTGGACAGCTTTTGAAGAGGATTAGACAGATTCATGGAGGATGCTGTCAGTGGCTACCAGCTGTGATGGCTACTAGCTGTGCCTCCACTGCTGGAGACAAAATGCTTCTGAATACCAGCTGCTGGAAACCACAGGCAGGGAGAGTGCCCTTGTCCACCTTGTGAGTTTCCAACTGGCGTCTGGGTGGCCACTGTGAGAACAGGATGTTGGATTAGATGGGCCAGAAGGCTCTTCTTATGTTCTCACCAGACCCTTAAAAGTCCACAGTTCACATTTTAGATGGGAAACAGATCCGCAGCAACTCTAAGGAATATACCGGTAAGCCCAGCTCTTTCGACTCCCAGACCTGTACTCTGTTACACTGGATGTCCCAGCAAGCATTCTATCATGGGTACTCCACAATACCAAGAAATAGACAACCTTATAAAAAACCTAGCAAACTGTGATTCCCAGCGACCTTTCATGAGGTTGTAGCTGGTTACATTGGTTCCTTATCTGCGCTTCCTAGTTTCCTATTTGATTCAACAGGTCGGACCTAGCAGAAGCCAGTGCGACAGCTCCCACTAGTGCAATGCCCTGCAGTGCAATGCATCCTGCTCCGGAGTGTGGGGAGAACCCCCAGAACAGTGCAGGCAGGGGGTTGGGGAGACGCGAGAAAAGGCGGCATATAAATGCAACAAGTACACAAATTCTAAAGAAGCACAAAGGAAACCCAAGCGCAGGTAGGAAAAAATGCTCTTCCGTATTTGGAGCAGTTCAGCTCCGGCTGGTCTTCAAGTGTGAGAGGTACGTGCCATAGAATCACAGAACTGTAGAGTTGGACTCAGAGGGTCATCTACTCCAACCCCTGCAGTAATATTTTGCTCCCCGCGGAACTTGCACCCAGGACCCTGAGTTCAAGAGCCTCAGGTTCTATTGACTGAGCAGCATCTTCTAGCACCCCTCCGACCCCGTCATGACTCCCGGACATGCTCCCTAGTCCCCATCAAAGCTGAGTGGAGATGCACGAATAGGGAACGTCCGAAATATCATTGACGGCCGGGCGGTGCGGATACTGAGCTCGGGCAGCGCTTTGGTGCCCTCGCGCATGCGCGAGCAAGGAAAAGCCGTGAGGCAAAACAAGCACAGCGGGCAAAAGCAGAGCCGTGTCTTTGCGGTGGGCGGAGGAGGAGGATGATAATATGGTGGCCTGGTTGGTCCTTTCGGCGCGTGCGCACTGCGGTGTTTGTGTATTCTGGCTGCGCGGTGGCGGCAGCGTCGGCGGCTCCGGGGGAGGGGGGGAAGATGGCGGCGTCCTCGCTGGAGCAGAAACTGTCCCGCTTGGAGGCCAAGCTGAAGCAGGAGAACAGGGAGGCCCGGAGGCGCATCGACCTCAACTTGGACATCAGTCCGGCCCGGACTCGGCCTAGTAAGGGAGGCTTTGAGGGGGGAAACGGCGGCGGCGGCGGCGGCAGGGGAGGCTCCGCGGCAGGGCCCCCCCCCCTGCTTGGGCGACTGACACGGGCCCGCCTGGGCAGGAGCCCCGGGGCCGGAGGGATACGGGGCGGGGAGGGGAAGGGCCGAGCTGCCGCGGAGAGGGGCCGGTAGGGAAAGGTCCTCCCGGAGAAGCGAAGGGGTCGGGAAACCCGGGGCGGGGAAACAAGGGGGCTCTTGTTTACCACGGAGCCTGGGGGAGGCGGAGGCCCAAGGCCAGGACACACCGGGGCAGGGAGAAAGAAGACCCAGGGGAAAGGTAAAGAATCCAGTGGGGAAGGGACTTGGAGGAAGGCGTGGGCGTGGGGGGCGGGGAAGAGTTTGAGAAGGAAGAAACGTGTAGGGAACAGAGTTGGGACCTAGTGCCCGGGCAATGATCTGCGTGTGGGTTTTTATAGGAGGACCCAGGGTGGAAGGAGAAGAAATGAGTGTAGCAGTAGGGGGCACCGACAGGAGGTCATTGGGAACCTTAGGTTAATCGATCTTCCTGGGGGTGGGAAACCACCTGTGTGTTGAGCATATGATGTGATGGCGTTAGTGGACCGTGGTACTTTGAGATTTTATTTAAAAATGAGGACAGTACTTAGAGCTCAGAGTTTCTTTCGTGGGGCCAAGAGGAGTTCCCATGTACTGTAGTCTGATTAGAAAAATTGATATACAAGGAGTTATGCTGTAACTGTTATACTGGAGGAAGTAAAAGTGGATTTAGGACCCCCCCCAATTGCCACATTATAACTATGTTTTTAAAGTTAGGGAAGTCTAAGCAACTGCTCACACCCTGCAGTGGAGAGGGAGGAGGGGTGGGTTAGGAATACCATGAAATAGTGATATGCTGTGCTCAGAAATGTCCCCAAGTGTATGCATCTCTAGATCAGGTTCCTGTCATTTGCTGAACTAGTATCTTTTTGTAAACAAAGACGTTCACAAGAGCTCTTTATTTAAGTTCTAACTTAAATACAGGACAGTTCCATATTGTGTATATAGCAGTGCTTCCAAAACACATATGGTTTCCCCACCCCATCTTGGATTAAAACTGAATGCATCTTTCACCCTATACTCAGATGTGTGTCAGGGATCCTTCTTGTGTCATAGTCTAGTTAATAGTGCATCTTGGTTTACTGTCTCTTTCTGTTTAGTTATCTTCATTGGTGTTTCTAGGAAGATGAAGCACTTGCCAATCGTACAATGGACTATGGCAAGGATTTACCTGTAGCCTCCATATGCTGAGGGATATAGACAGGTGTAGGCATCCAATATGGTGATTTAATTCTTTCAAGACACACTTCAGCCTCTCTCATGACATATTAGATGCTCCAGCATTCAATTTGGGAATCACTGATGGCAAGATGTGAATATATTCACTTGAGAAGAGAGTTGAGGGAGGAACTTACTTATTTGGCATATTTATAGGCCTCCCTTTAATAAAGTTGTCAGGGTTGTTCACAGCCAGAAAAGCTCAGTCAGTAGAGTAGAGTATGGGTCAAAACCTACAAACTTGAGCTACTGGTTTTGAACAGACTAAAATTTTCATGATCAACCAACAGCCCAAGTTTTTATGCTTACTATAGCTGTTTGACCCATATTTTGAGATACAGAGCTGAAATTTAACATGGAATTAATAATTTTTTGTACCACTGAAGGATTTCCCCCTGTAATTGTATTGTATTGCTACTAGTTTACTTGGCACACAGGACAAAATATTAGAAAGTATGTTGATAACATGTATAAGTTTGTCATAAGTAACATAGAATGTATATTACAATGATAGTGACATTGAAAAGATTTAGAATATTTTTAAATCTGATTTCTAATCGTTTGGCAGTAGATTATTCTAGCTGTATAATCTGTCTCTGTGAATAAGGCACTTACCTGTGTGGCCAAGGTGAAATTGCCAGGGCGAGAGTGAAATGAATAAAAAATCTAAATCATAAATATTTTCTGACAAGCCAATGGCTTAATATGTTGATCAGAGTACCTCTGATAGTCATTCTATGGTTGGAGCAAATCTCCAATTATAACAACTGAGACTTAAGCATGCACAGCTCAAAGTTTTGGTGCAGACACAGGGCTCTTACCTGTGCAGGTAGGTAGACTCTACCCCATTCAGTATAGTGCCTGGGATGTCTCTCTCCCTACATTTGCCTCTACTGCATGCATTTGCCTGCTGCTGGAGCAGAATCCAGAAGTAGCTATGTCACTGAGAAAGGGAGAAGATTTCCCTTTAAAGTCAGTTAGAGGAGGAAAAATGTGAAGCTCATCTGTTCCTCACTGCTTTTAAAGCTGAATTACCTCTGGAGCATGGGAGCTATTTCAACACTGTCTGGACCTGCAGTGCCGTGATAATGTGCACAAACAAACATCATGTGAGTGGGTGCTTATTTATTAATTTTGATGGTTTATGTCCCACCTTTCAATCAAACCATTTTCAAGGCAACTTACAAGCAGGAGGTAACAATACAACCCCCCACCCCCACCCCCAATTCACACATACAATCTAGCAGCTGCTGGATGGGACCAGAGCTTGCTTTTCATCAGCTCTCTAGTCTCAGGGCAACTGGCAATTGAAGTTGAGTGTTCTTTCTAGAAGCAAGGGGGAGGGAGGAAGCAAATTCCGGCAGCTGCTCATTTTCTGGCTGATGAATGGGGCCAGACTGGTCTCCCTTTTGCCTTACTTCCTGTGAGGCAGGGGGTGCAGGTTCCCAGTGGCCCTGCTGTCCTGGCCAGAGACAGAGTGGGATTCTCTTCTGTTTCCTGGTCCTTGTATTACATGATCTCTGCTGAGATTGAAATTGGAATGTGGTTGTTTCTTATCCTGGTGGTGTGGGAAGTAATTATATTATCCCATGCACCCACGTGGTTCTTGTATCTACATAGTACTGGGGTTTTCTGAATCCAGGATATAGACAAGCAGTTCCAATAGTGTAATGCTAATATTTGAATATCCAATAAAGAACAAAGAGCAGATTCAGATTTGTGCCACTTTTCAAATCAGCTCACCTGGTGTAAGATGTCGGGGGCGGGGGATGGGAAGGGATGTTTTAGCTCCTACAACTAGTTGTGGGTTTAATGTGAGTGTAAAGCTTTCTGGTTCCACTTTCCATTGTGGTTTTGTGGCTTGGATGTAGCTTCTTTCAATCCTGAGTCTAGAAGCTGGAAGTGGAGATTACACTGTGTATGTTACCATAGGTTAATAGGTTATGTGTGTGTAATTAGTTAGGGGAGGTTTCTGATAACCCTTCCATGTATTCAGGGACTATGTGAGGAGGATTGTGGGACTGCATGAGCTAATCCTGGCTCTATTGCAGCATCTAGCAGCCCTGTACCCCACACTTTATTATGTGAAAAGAGGCTTGCTATGCATATAATAATAATGATGATGATGATGATAATAATAATAATAATAATAATAATAATAATAATAGTTATTTATTTGCTACCCATCTGACTGGGTTACCCAACACTGTGGGAGGTTTCCAACAAAATAGGGAACCACGGTAAAACATCAGTCATGTGCATCAAGGTTCTCCACATAAGTTGGGATCTTGATGCACAGATGTTGGCATATTTGTAGAGCCCCTTCTCCTGTGTGCTAATTGCAGGTGAGTGGGCCTTCCTGCTGTGTAAATGGCAAGAGCCAATTCCTGCTCATGTGGTTCTGCAAACCCCTTAACTTTGAACACATGGGGAGAGTCATTGAACTAACCCCCCATCCAATTTCTGATCTAGGCTTTCTAAATATTTATTCAATGTACTTCTGTTTAGGTCACATTCTGTCTTTCTGAAATCTTGTATGCTTACTTTTCCACACATTTGTGTGAGGGAGATAGTGTTCATGAATGCCTAATAATGTACCCCATTAACCTTAAGAATGTTTACAAAATATTTCACAAGAGTGACAGAGTCATGGTCCTTCCCTAATTAAGAAGCATTTCTTCAGTAAGAATAGATGCGACCTTCTTATATGGTATAGTGGAACTAGAACCAAGGTCTGTATCCTTCCGACTTTGTCGGATGATCCACAGCTATTTAACAGAGAAAGTCTAATTTACCAGATCGTAGAGGTAGAGGAGGTTTTGTATTCATTTAAAAAGGACAAGACATGCACTTGGTTTCTCTAGTGGAATGAGACAAGGGTAGGTGAGAGATTAAAAGGAGAAACAAAAGTTTATGCTTTATGGAGAGTCCAGATGCACCTCCAGGACTTTTGTTTTACACACTAGCCTCAAACTTAAGTGTAATGTGAGTCTTTCAGTCTGCTTTATGCAGAATAAAAAGTTTTTATTGAAGGTGACTTTTATGAATTTCAACTCTTTCTATTTTGTTCTGGGTAGTCCACAAAGGCAACAAAAAGCTATTATGTACTTGATGTTTTTTGCCGTACTCTCAAGCTTCTGATATAAAATTCCTGAATTCTACACTGCACTTTGATTCACATTTCAGGCTATCACATCTCATTTTGCATGTGGGTATCCTTTTAGAGAGTGAAATTTGAGAATGACTTATGTGGCCATGTCTTCATAATTGCAGGCTTTTTGTAAGAAGATGTTAATAGTAGTTTCTTGTAGAATATGTGTGACTTCTGGTTTGTGCTGTTGGGTGCTTATATGCCAGATGTAAATGAACATGATGAAAATGGAGTGTTCGAAAGTTGCCTTGCTGATATTAACTCTTTTAAAGCAGATCAGGTTAATCCATTTTAACTAATTATGACAATTTAAGACACCTTTTAAAATTATTAGCATGAGGCAAGTAGAATTTTGACAAGTTGTTACATTGGTATAGACTTCTCATACTTATAATTCTTGTAACAATGCTCTTGTGTAAAACACTTTTCAGTGATAATGTGATCATAGCAACTCTATAAAGTTGTATGTACCACTTTTAAGAAAGGGGCTGTAGTTTAGAGAGATTTGCTTCCCAGTGTCTCTTAGTGAACCCATGACTAAAATGAGGGAGAAACTAAAATTATGACTGAGACATGGCTTCTTGATTTATTTTATTAAGATGGTGAGGATCAGTTCTTGTTTATTCAGGCTCTTACTTGCAAAAACAGAGTGGAAATTGGGATTTCTTATACATTTACAGTTAGTATTCACAATAAATGGGTTGAATTGAAGTTTTGAAGAGTTATAAAAGTCCAAGGGAATATATTTGGAAGCACAACTAGGTTTTTATTGTGAATGATGCCATCATTGGTAGGTTATAAAATTGATTTCATTGTGACAGAAGTCCTACCAAGTAATCCTTATGGCACAGTTTTTCAACCATTTTGGGTCCATAGCTCCCTTGACCAGCTCCATTCTTTGTGCGACACCCCTGTGGGGCTCAGGAGCCCAGTTATGTCACCCCTTGCCTTCTGAGCTGGCAGCTCCCTTGTGGAGGGCTCCCTCAGCCTCCTCTCTTCTCCCCATGGGAGTCCTCTGGGCATCTGCAGCTGCTGCCCCTGGTCTCTGAGCTGCCTCGCTTGCCCCAAAGAGAGGTGCCTCCTCTCACTACCCCACAGGGGCCTGGGAAGCATGCCCTGGTCAGCTCCAGACACACCATTCACCTGGGAGCTTGTAGCCAAGGCTGCTGCAACAAACAACAACTGTGCAAGCCTTTGAGAGGCAGAGATGCAAGAAGGCATCATATGAAGGTAGGGAAGGAAAGAGGGACAGAGGCCAGTATTGCCCATGGCACCCCTGAACATCATTCAAGGCACCCCAGGGTGCCGTGGCACACTGATTGAAAACTACTGCCTTATGCCTCAGTCTGAAAGAAGCAACACCAGAGAGCTTTTCATTGTATGTATATGATTTGATGTTATGAGCAGGTGAACTTAGTTTGCTGTTCATGTTGCTTATAACATTATTTAGATCAGTAAGCCAGTTAATTAACCTCCATGTGTTATCATGAAGCAAAGCAAGGAGTTCATATCCTATTTCAGATCTTGTTTCCTTTCAGGGCATGTAGTGGTGGTCCAACAGAATGAAAGAAGAAATAAGGTGATGGTTCAGAGAGTGGTGGTTTTCCTTTGATAAGCTAGAGTACGGGTGGGAAGCCTAAGGCCCTACAGAGGTTGTTGAAATACAGTTCCCATCATCCCTGACAATTGGCAGTGCTGTCTGGGTCTCATGGGAGTTGGAAGTCTGTTAACGTCTGGAGGACCCCAGGTCCTTCATCCCTGAGGTAGAGGCTGTTAGAGAAGATACTGTTTTTATCAGTTGTTTTTTAATCTCATTAGCTTTCAAAAGCAGGAGCAATCATTTCTACTTCTTGGGGATCAACTAAAAACTTTGTGAATTTTTTTTACCTTTTATTTTTTCTTAGAGAATGGGCATATTTTATAACAAAAAAGAAATTACTTACGTGCATCAGTTGGGGTGGAAATATTTTAGAAAGCAATTTTCAAGGGGAAATGAAGAGAAGTTATTAGCATCTGAGCACTTGGGTAAAAACTAGAACGCTTTGATACCTTAAAGTAGAAAATATTTCATAAGTTGCAGGGGCATAAGGTTTTGAATAAGGTGAGATGTTGTAAAGTAGAAAATATTTCATAAGTTGCAGGGGCATAAGGTTTTGAATAAGGTGAGATGTTGCTTATGAGAGGTCTGTTTAACATAAATAGAATCAAGGAGCATAATTTATGTTATCGTCTTTAGATTATCCTATTCACCTCTTATGGTTCAAAATGCTGTTAGTAAACGTCATTTTGAGAGTATAGCAAGATCATGGCCTTTAAAGCAAGTCTTTATACTGTGATCAGACCTTGGAACATCACAGATAAAAGGTTTCCTAGGCATCTAGGAATATGAGATATTTGAATGGCATTGGTGCCGAAAAGAAGTGGAGTTTGATGCACATAATATAGTCAGCCAGGTGCAATCTTGGAACATAGACATTTGATGCTGGCTTTGAAAAACTGGAGCTTTGCCCCTGGGTACTTTAAGTACATTTCATGTATATCTATGATTGTGAAGCACTGTGCTAGATTGTTGATGAAGCCATAGTGAATGGGTTTTGCTTTCTGGAAGGAAGGAAGGAAGGAAGGCCACTGACCAGAACACTGCTGTGCAAGGGAATTGTTGACTAACAGAAGAAGAACCATAGCCTTTTTTTCATGTGAAACCTGTGGAATTTCATGTGAAACCTGTGGAATTGATTCCTTACTGTTTGATGCATCACATTTTCACCTTGTCTGTCCCCTTTGTTGGTTTCTTGCCACCTCCACTCTTTATCCTGAAATTGATTTGAATATGAGTTGTTTTCATTTTGATGATTTGATTGTTTCTGTTGTGATTTATCGTGTTTTTTTCTTCCTTTTCCCAATCCAGTTATTGTGATCACTCTAAGCCCTGCTCCCGCTCCATCCCAACGTGCAGGTACCAGAACTTTTTATCATCGCAGCTTGGATTTCTTGCATCATTTATTTAATGCTTCCTTCAACTGCATAGAATTGCCACTTGTCTGCTTCTCTTCCAAGTGTGTGTCTGACCCTGCTTCCTTCCCCACTTTCGTATTCTCCTTTACTATTGATCTAGCCTTACTTGCCAAGACTGGCTAGGCCAAGCGTATGTAAGGCCATGCATGAAAACATGTTTTGATTGTCCACAGCTGCAGTAGTTGCTTAGCACCTTCCTTTCCTGATGATGTCAAAGCACTTTCTGAAGACAGGTAACCATTAAATTTTCACACTGGTATTTTCCGCCTTCTATCTTCCACCTTCCACTTTAACGTGCCAGAGCCCTCAGGTGGCAAATGGCAGAAATTCATATTGCCATACATTTCCTTAGATTTTCCTGAGTGGAAAGGCAATGTTGAAATGTCAACCTGCATACAGCAAAATTAAGTAGGCTCTGCTTTTTGTGATGTGCAGTTGCCTCTGAGGTAGAACCCAGTAGCAGACTGTCAGTGCTGTTGCACACTAGTTTGCTTTAGGGCAGAAAGTCAAGACTGTCCTTTTAGTCAAGGGCAGCTGCTGTAGGGATTTTAAGATGGGAACAGAGTAGCCTTCCTTAGAGTTGAGCAGGGCTCAGATTTCTATGAAGCTCCTAGTAGTGTCTGCTGCATCCCACAACGGTGCCAGACTGTGTTTCTGATATAATCTCAGGAGGGCATATATTTATATGTATTTGTTACCTTTGTATGCCTCTTTCCCCCAAAAGAATTTTGATTACTATTAACAGGTTTTCCATGCAGATTCCTGTCTACGTATCATTTGGTCCCAAATATGCTAAGCTTCAGAGATGGACCTAAATGATCTATTTCAGACAAATCTCTGGACCAGTGTTATTCACTGGGGCTTTTATTGTACATGGTGTGCAGTAAATATATAATTGCTACCTAAATAAGCTGTAATTGGATAAAATAAGGTCAGGTGAGAGATAGCTTTATTTTATTGTTTAAGAACATCCATTAAACAGTTAATAAAATTCAGTGAAGCACAGATCTAATGCCATACCCTACATGATATGGGGTGGGAGTCTACAGCAGAAAGAAAGCTAATTCCTCATTTTTTAGTTATTTGCTGCTGTTGCATGGTGCTGGAATCTTCCCTGCCTCTTACAGAGAGCTGTCCTTGATCTTCTGGATGTTAAAATTATGCTCTGGAAGTTAAAAGGATGCTGTACTATTAATATTGCTGTAGTGATGTCTCTTATTAAGATTAATGAATTAATTAGGTTCTGGGCATATTGGTGCTTATAGAATCATAGGATCAAAAACTGTAGAGTTGGAAAGGACCCTGAGGGTTATCTCGTCCAACCCCTTGCAATGCAGGAATCTCAACCAAAGCATCCATGGCAGATTGGACGAGTCCATGGTAGTACATGAAGAGGGTTGCACTGTAAATGTTAAAGTCACAGTCTTGGCATAGCCTATCATGCCAAGTGTTTTAATTAGTTTAGGCAAATGAGTTTCTTCACCTTCTAACCTGAGCTACTTTAGCTGTGCATTGTGAAATAGCTACTGCATTGTTTTTCTACCCTAGAGGCAGCAGTCTTCGAGTATAGAAAGTACAGAGACCAGTCTGCCATTTCATCTAGTGGGTGCTTGCCTTGCAGTGCTTTGAAGCCTTTCAGGATGGGAATGTGTTTCATTAGATTACCTTCCAATGCTTTCCAGTCTTGCCTCTACCACTAGCTCTTACCTGTGCTTTTGTGCTATGCCACTTGTTCTTTGCAGCTGCCATCCAGCAGAATTTCTTACCCTTCCATTTTCAAGTAGTTATTATTCTAACACTTTCTTCTGAAAGCAGCAAATTGATAGTTTGTATGATTATTAGGTTTAAGCATGTGTTACTCTTGACTTGCCAGTTCATGGCAGCCATCTGAAGTGCACATGGTGCAGGCAACTCATTGTTGACCAAGGTTAACTATGCAACCAGAGCAGCTTGCGAGCAAGGTGGGTTAGTTTTACTTGAGTCTGCACACCTGATCAGGTACTGCCACAAAATCCCATCTCAGCTCCAACTTTTTGGCTTCATTTTTTTCCAATTATTTATTGGAAAACTTAATTTTACTTAATTTCTCTTATATTTGAGTGAATGGAAAGATTCCAGCTTTAACTTTGAATTGTTTTTTTCTATTGTGGCTGTATAGAAAGTTTAAAATATGACCACTGTGTCTTTTATTGCCTAGAAGTCTAATGGCAAAGAACAATCCCACAAACATTATTTTGTAAGCTGTCTATTGAATTGGCAGATGGAGAAACTTAGGTGACACTTGCAAATATATAGGATTGGCAACTACCTGTATAAAATACATTAGCTGTGTCTCAAAAAACATATTGCTTCCTGAAATTCTACATGTGAGAGATCACTGGGACTTTAAAAGTAGACATGCCTAGGATTTTTCTGTAAATGGTTCACTTCCATGTCTTCTTTGTGGGTAAATGTAGTCAAAGAGGAACATGGCAGCTTGCTGCTTGAATTCCAAAGGAATTCATGGATCATATTGATGGATAGTAAGTGAGACATTTTGCAATTTAAATGGTGCAGTGCCACTTTTCCTCTCTGGTATACTTCTCCAATGATGGATGGACTGTTTGTTTTTAAATGGATATTCAGAATCGGCAGGTTGGAGGTAGACATTATTAAAATGGCCCTTCTAGGCAATACTGTTTTTAAAGTCTCCTTGTGTGAAAAGAACCTTTTCCTCCCATTGTTATGGAAGTCCTGCCTACTGTCCACATCACAACCATTGGAGAATAAACAATTTCAAATATCCCCAAATGAAAAAAAATCCATACAAATTGAGCAACGATGACAAATTATGCCACTTGATTTTATTTGCACACATTATTTCACAGGGATGAACTGTAGATTGTATTTTTAAAGAAAATTAAGCACAGAATTCAAGATTGCTTGCTTATATAGAGACCAGCTTGGCCTTATATAGCAAAAAAATCACTCCTTCGCAGAAATGTAACAGACCAATGATGCTTCAGTGTATTTGTGACTCTGGAATGCTACCACATGAAGGCTGTTTCAGTCACTAGAAGTAAAAAAAACCCCTTGAGATAACATGCTTTCTTTCTTTCGTCACTTCCATTGCCAGGCCTATTTTTCTTTGTAAAAGTTTTTTTTTTTAAATACACATTCAAATAGAAAGCTAAAAGGAAGTGTTAAGTCTAGTCTTCATTCTCATTCCCTGTGTGGGTGGTTGGCGTTCCTTGAACCTCACTCATAATCATATCTGTAATTTGCTTGGCACAGGATTAATTCAGTATATGCCAGGAAGAAACAGGATCAAGTGATGGAATTTTATCCATTTACTTAGAACCATTGAAATTGGTCACCTTAAGTTGGTCAAGTCCATTAATTTCAGTGATATGACTAACATTGGATATAAATCACTGTCTCTAAAGTACCTTCCATAAAAAGGCAGCCTATCTCCATGGCCCATGAAGAATGTATGTTCAGAAGAATGCCAGTTTGTCTGGATAGCTGAAATACATTTGTATGTGCCTTCATTTCATCATCTCTTGAGAGAAGGTGATCTTAGAAGTGACTACATGGTTTGCGAGCCTTGAACTTCCAGGGTAATGATAATATTTGGTGTAACTTCAGATTTTGAACAAGTGCTAAACCTATGAATATTGACTGGGTTTTTAAAATTAAAGGCATGGGGACACAGAGCATAATTAAATATAACCAAATATTTTTGGAAATATGGAGGATTCACAGTTATCTTTCTAATACTTCTGAAGGTCAGATATATTTTCCCCACCTAACTCAGCAGGATTGTGGCTTTAGAAATTTGACTTCCATTAGTTTCGATTTTTCATGGAAATCTCTTTGCTACAATGCAGGACTTTTTATTTATTATTGCATAGATAGACATATTGCACTGAGAACATATCAGTAATCATATCAGTATCAGACTTTGTAACTCATTCTCTAGAAGCATCAGGGATTTAATTTCCTGGTTTATGATGATTTAATTTTAACCCTTTATCCCATGTGTGGTTATTTCATGCATTCTTAATCAGAATATTAAATCACATTAAATCCACCGCTTCCTGGTTTAAAGTAACTAGTGGCTCACAAGCAGAGACAATATGGAACTATTTGAACTGGCTTTAGGGGAATGCCTTAAAGCTGCAATGTGGGAAGTTTAAACAAAATAAAACATTATTATGCCATGAAACTCCAGGTGCCTTTCCTGAGCAGTCAGGTGTATAAGCTCTATCAGCAGTCTCAGTTTAGAGGTGATTTGCAAGAAAAATAATTTCCATGACTTAAAATAATAAGTTGGGAATTTGCCCTTAACACAAGAGATCTTTTTTCCCCAAATACATCTGGTGCAAGTTTCTATCACATTTAATATGATCGGTACATTGAGCCTGGTTTCAACTCTGGTTAAACTGCTGGTTTAAAGAAAAGCCTTGTATGGGCATGCCAGCAGCTGGGACGAGGTGGTCCTTTTAGCTTGGCTATCACCATTACAGTAATTTAAGCTGATTTATGAAGCTTGCAAAATGTGTAAGTCTGCTCTGCCTGCACTTCTGCCTCCCTGTTCCTAGCCATTGTCGTTCAAAGTAGAGTTCATGTTGAATTCCGTCAGTGCTGGCCTGAAATGGCCATGTAGGGTTATGCCCCATAGCTGGCAAACCACATCATCTGAAGTATCTGGTGAATACTCCAATGTCAGCAGCCTAACTAGTGTTTCTCTTTTCCTCTGCTTCCATTCTGTGTGCAGTACCTGCTTATGCCCATCAACTGAACCTTCCTGCTTTGCTCTGCTTCTTTTTTGGCTTTCTTCCATGTCCTGTTCTTCCCACTACAACCGTCTTCTTCCCCTTTAATGTAACCTTTTCCAGTATTGTACTGGATTGATTGACCATTTCTGCAGCATGATTTTCTCCTTTGCTGTGGTTCTCC